CCCACCCAGCTGTAGCCGAGGGGACAGCTGCGTGCAGGCTGATACCCTGCCCTTGCTGACATGGTGTTGCTGCTCTGGGGGTCACAGCTGGCCCCAGAGACCATGCTGGTGGCTGCCCTGTCCCAAACTACGGGAACACCAGCCCTGCTTGCCCATAGGCTCAGGCAAGACTTTTTCTGAAACCAGGGGACAATAAATAAATTATACGCATCCTATATTGGCCTAAAAGTCGACCCATCACGCTTGAAGAGGTTCAGATTGTTTTGGGGAGCCCCTTTGGATGGGCAGCCTGACCTGCTGATACGAGAGGGAGAAGGGGATCATTGGGGAGATGGCTGAGCTTGGGAATTGCGTGGCCACCGAGCAAAGGGCACGGGTGCGGGCACGGCCCCGTGACGGTCTGCTCCTTGGGCCTCCCTGGGCAGATTCTGGGGCCCGTCCCCACGGGCGGACCTAACAGAGCGCCACCTTCGTGCACGGGCTATTAGGGTCAGCCAACCCCAGTAGTGAGCGAATCCCCCAGTGCAGCCTGTTCTGGATCTTAAACGTCCTGCATCTGAAATACGCCTCAGGACAGAGGCTGAATGGAAGAGGAGTAGGGATGCCACTGGGAAGATGAGAACACAAGGACTGTCTGTCATCCTCATGACCTTGAGCTCTGTGGGTGACAGTCGACAGTGTGGTAAGACGCTAGCCAAGTGGTGAGTGAAAGGAGGGGGTCACCTGTCATGACTCTCACACGGGATTTGTTTTAAATTTCATTTTGGAATAAGTTCAAACTTATAGAGGAGTTGTAGTAATAATGCAAAGAACTCTGGTCGATCGTGTTCCCTGAATCCTAATTGGTAATGTTTTACACATTTTAGAGATTTGTTTTTTTTATTTTAGGAGAGGGGGTTGAGGCGGAGGAAGAGGAGAGGAAGACTCTCAAGCACACTCCCCACTAAGCATGGAGCCCGACGTGGGGTTCGATCCCACGACCCGTGAGATCATGACCTGAGTCCAAACCAAGAGTTGGACACTTAACCCCCAGGCGCCCTGCCACGTTTTACATTGTTTTCACATCGCCCGTATGTGTGTATATATATATGCACGCAGATCTGGTGGGCTTAGAGGCGTCGGCCCCCCGTGCAGTCGAAAATCCAAGTATAACTGTTGAGTCCCCCAAAACTTAACTGCCACCAGCCTGTCATTGGCAGAAGCCTCACTGACAGCATGAAGGATAGATTAACGTGTATTCTGTGCTGTACTCTGCCAATAAGGCAAGCTAGAGAAGAGAAGATGTGATTGGGAAAATCATAAGGAAGAGAAACACATTTGCAGTGCTGTGCTGGATTCATGTTAAAAAAAATTCACAGATAAGCGGATCCACACGGTTCAAACCCATGTTGTCAAAAGGTCTGCGGTGTGCGTGTTTAGATACCCACACACCGCTCTTCTCTGAATCATTTGAATCTGATTTGTAGACATCGAGTCCTTTCTTTACTCCTATAAAGGCCTATATGTCTGTTTCCTAAAAACTGAGCATAGCACGGAATCCTTAGCATCAGCCATGTGCACATATCCAGTCTGCAGACCATGTCACCTTTCTCAGTTGTCCTTCTAATGTTCTCGATGGCCTTCTTCCTTCCTGGTTCGTGACCAGTACAGGACCACTGTTCTCTCGTTAGGCAGTGTCTCTGTTAGTTACTGAAGGACGCCCTTGGCGCGTGGGGGGCTCCCGTGGGACCCCGTCAGGTTGTATGTGTGTGAAGACCACAGAAAGAGAGTCTGTATCCTCCCCAAGGCTTCATCTCAGGAAGCTCCTGATGTTGGTTGGTCCGATCAACACTGGGGTTGAGCTTAATTGCTCGGCTAAGATATCTTCTGCGGAACGTGTCCGTGGTAAAGTTACTGTTCTTCCCTCCGTCATGAGGAGGTAATTTTTTCTTTAGTATTTCATTTATTTGTCAGAGAGAAAGAGCACAAACAGGGGAGAAGCACAGGCAGAGGGAGAAGCAGACTCCCCACTGAGCAGGGAGCCTGATGAGAGGCTCGATCCCAGGACCCCAGGATCCTGACCTGAGCCGAAGGCAGACACTTAACCCACTGAGCCACCCAGGTGCCCCAGAAGTACTTTTTGAAAGGCGATAATTCAAGACTGGATTAACTTGCTTTTCTCCATCGGGCTTCCCTTCACTGGTTTTATTGCGTATTGATGACTCTTGGCTGATTCTTCTATCATTCTTCATTGACAGGTGGAATTCTCCCGGTAGAACATGTGTTCCTTTCTCTTCCATGTACTTACATGTGTGTGTGTATTTGTCTGTGAGGACACGTTATTTTATACCATGGCTCACAGCCCTGACTACTGGTGTTCATTTAGGGACTCCTATTGCCCCATTGGGGCTTGGACATGTCCCCGTCAATGTACTCGCTCGCTTCCTGGGACAAGATGTCCCGTGCTCTGCAATCAGGGCTGTTTGGGACTACATAGTCCGTTGTTGTGAAGGCCTGTCCTGAGCCTTGCAGGATGTTTAGCGGCATCTCTGGCCTCTCCCCACAGGACGCCAGCAGCACCCCCCACACACCTGTTTGACAACCACAATGTCTCCGACGTTGCCAAGTGTCCCTTGGGCAGCAGAATCCACTCCTGCCGGTCCCAGCTGGGAAGCACTAAGGAAAAGGAGTATTGCTTCCTTTGTTGAATGTTTCGGTCGGTCAGAGAGATCTAGTTCACTTCTTCAAGTAAATGAGGCAGAAGAAGCCTTATAATCTTTATTTCTTCTAGCAACACAAGGCTAAAGGAGTGTTGAGGCTCTTGTCTATGAAGGAGCCCACACAGTAGACGGGAATAGTGAGGTGAACCCCCATGTGCCCCTCAGCCTGCTCCAGCCACACCCCGATTGACTGCCCCCCGATCTGCTATTTTGACCAGAATCTCATGTCAAAATAGCACTTATTTGTAAACATTTTACAATATTTCTCGTTCTGTAAAAGATCGTGAACTTTTTTTTTTTTTTACCACAATCGTCGTCACTCCTGATTCCTTAATTTAAAAAAAAAAAATTCAGTGTTCAAATCAGAATTGCATTTACACCACGTGTGTGTGTATTCCCAGTGCCCCTGAAAGACAGCGCTGCCCTGGGAAGGGCTCGGCTCCAGGAGTTGGCTCCCACGGAGGCTCCGGTCCGGAAGCAGGCGCCCAGCCCCGGCCACACCTCAGGCCCCAGCTCGGTACTCAGGCTGCACGGGTTCCTGCCCACCCTGAGCTGGTCACCAGGCCTCCTAGAGGTCACCCCCCGCTGCCCCCACCCCACCTCACGAAGGACAGGTGGACCTGGGGTTGGGGGGGTAGTGGGGGGGTGGTTTCCGTTCTCCGGCACCATCATTGCCTTCTTCCCTGTGGGCTCTAGCTTCTTGGAATGCAAACAAACTCCTAATTCCTGGGATTTCCACCACTTAAACTTGAGATAAAGTCTTTAGAGCAGAAGTTTGGGATGAGCTCTTTCTGTGCAAATGCTTTCCCTTTGTGGGTTGGTGCAGTAGGGTGATCTAGGCACATGCTGCCCCCCAGAAGAACGCAGGTCAGACAGGATCTGTCTGGAATGATCCTTTACTGAGTGTGTGCTCTGCACACGAGGGAGTTATAAGCACCCCCCCCATGTGACACCCAGCGTAAGCCCGTGTGATGACTGTCCCCCAGCTGTGGCAGTGAGGGTGTTGATGGTCAGGGCAGGGGGGGCTCATGCAGCAATGGGAGGGAGAGTCTGAATCCAGGACTGGCAGGTTCCAAAGTCCATGCTCTCACTGTGGAGCCAGACATCCTCCACCTGATTGATGCTTCTGGACAGTGTGGGATGTGGGCGCTGGGGGAACCTGGGATGTCCTGGGGAGTGGGGACTGCACCGAGAACGTGCTTCATAACCGTTTCTTAAGTGGGGGGCTGAGTGGACTTGTACCTGGTCCCATTCTGTTCCTTAACAAATCCAGTTTTAGGGAACAGCATTCTACCAAACACATGGGTCAGTCGTCTCTGCTGTTGGGAATGTTTCTGTTGTTAGAGATGTATTTTAATAAAGCTTGACCTCCGGGCGCCTGGGTTAAGCATCCGACTCTTGGTTTCGGCTTAGGTCATGATCTCAGGGTCCTGAGATCGAGCCCCGCATTGGGCTTTGTGCTCAGGACAGAATCTGCTTGAGATTCTCTCTCCCTCTCCCTCTGCCCCTCCCCTGTGCATGTGCGTGTGCTCTCTTTCTCTCTCCCCTCTCTCTCTCTCTAAAATAAATAAGCCTTTAAAAAAAAAATAAAGCTTGACTTCTAGCGATGTATCCTGAAAAAATAGACACACACACTGAGACTCACGTAGGAAGATGTGCCAAGCGGCGCAGTCGGTGAGCGTGAAAGACTCGAAACCGTCCACGTGGACAGCTGTCAGGACAGCACTGTGGTCCCCACGGCCACGTGGACAGACACCTCATGGGCACTGAAACATCAGAGAAGTGTAGTGTCCTGGAGATATTTACCATGTAACCTGAAGCTGACCAGCCTGATTGCAAAACTCTGTCCTGTGATCCTAACTATGTCAGTGTGTCTATTTATAAATACGTGTGCAAAAGAATACTAGAAGGGCACATTCTAGAATTTTAACCGATAGGGGAATTGTCGGTGATTCCCAGATTTTTTTTCCTTTGTCCCTTACTATTTTTAAACGTTACAATGAAAACTTATTTTATGATAAAAAAAAAAAAAACTAGTATCTTGGGGAGGAGGGGGTGTGTGTACGTGTTGGGAATTTCTACTTTACATGGCCCCGCCCCTCCCACCCTCACATGTCCCGGGGGCGGCTGATGTCCTTACGCACAGGAAAGAGAGTGGGTTCCCCAAGTCGACTCCACCGTGAATAGACTCCTCTTCCTTTGGAGATCTAAGTGACCTGCCCCTCACAGAGCTCCTGGATGTGTCCTTGCTGGTCCTTGCGGTGCTGGGCACGGGTGGCCAGGCACCTGTCACCATTGTGGGGCTCTCTGCAAGGACTGGCGTCCCCCCTGTGCGCCTCCGCTCGCCCCAGCCCGTGATCCCTGGTCGTGGAAACCAGAGGGGAGCCTGCGGACAAGGGGGCCTGGTGTTAAGGGGGAGGGAAGGTGTGAACGAGTCACCAGCAAAGCGTTGTCTCACCGAGGGGAAGAGGCCGCTGGATTTTTTCTGAGCAGGGAGAAAACAGAGTGTGGCAGAAAGTGCTACAGGCAACACTTCCCCAGGGCTCCCTCCCGGGGCGGCCGAGCAGGTGGGCAGGGCAGAACCAGAATGGTGAAGGAGCTGTGGCCCTGCTCCCCTAGGAGAGGAGGAAAGGCAAGCCGACGTTCCCAGGACAACAGCCGTGGGGCCTCTTGACTGGCGGGGCCCCGGGTAGGAGCCCTTGCGTGGTGCTGTATGCGGGGAAGCCGAGGCCCAGCTGCACGCGGCACCAACACTCGGGATCCCTGCGCCGTCGTCAGTCCACCAAAGGAGGGTTGCGTCTTTGCTAAAACAGCTTTCATTCCAGTTTTCGACAGAATGATACCACTTTATCAGTATTGGCTTTGTCAAAGTCATAGGCTACATGTATCCACTCGAAGAAGAAGAAATACAGATGAGCAAGTCAAGTCTTCCAAATGGTCTGTCTGGTTTGAAATAGAGGCATAAAGGTGGGCCGCCCTGTGCTTTGAATCTTGTCACCCGCCTCTTGGGCTGATGAGAGCCATTCGAGGCGGGGAGGCTGCTGGGGGACCCTGAAATCTGTGGTTGACTTTTGAGAACTATTTGATGCATTGTTTTATTTTATTTTTTTAAAGATTTTTACTTATTTATTTGAGAGAGAGTGAGAGAGAGAACAGGATCCAGGGGGTTATGGGGGAGAAGCAGAAGCTGAGCAGGGAGCCCGATGCAGGACTCGATCCCAGGATCCTGGGATCATGACCTGACTGAAGGCAGACACTTAACCGACTGAGCCACCCAGGCGCCCCTCCATGAGTTGTTTTTAGAATGTTAACTCCTTTAGAAAGGATTTGCAAGGACTGAAAATATTTTTTCATTGAAACTTGGAAGTCAACAGATTATAATGCAGATTTCTTTTAAAGTAAGTTTGACTCGGTTTCATTGAACAGGATTATTATGTACGTTCTTATTACCTCGAATAGAGCCATACAATTACATGGAGCAGTTCCGGTTATCATACTTTATATCTCAAAGTGGAACCGTTAACTTAGACCAGAATTGGAAAATTAGGTTTACGTTATTTTTCACTAAAATTCATCTAGCCTAACCCTGGTTCTGCCCCAGTCTGAGCTGAATTTAATTTCCTCCAGACTTACTATAACTGCCCGATTAGGGGGCTTCAGGGCACACAAGAATCAGAAGCCTTTTCGTGTCGCTCCTAGGCGGCCACGGATCCCTCAGGGCAGGGAAGATTCTCCAGGGTTGGGAAGCATCTTGCCGGCAAAGAAGCAAAGCGAGGCAGAGCAGATGCCCTGGGTTCAGGTTGGGGCTCCCGCAGTTCCCATTTGCCGGATGCTGGGCAAGCCATTCTGCATTACTGAGACTCGCCTCCCTCATCTGGTTGGGGGACAGTGATACCTGCCTCGGAGGGCGTTCGTGTTGGGCCCCAGCATGGCTGCTGCGTTGGCCAGAGCCCACCACCTGCCCAGGTAGCAGGTGTGGCCCTCCAGGGGGCCGTCCACCTGCCTGGCCACGGCTGGCTTTCCCACTTTCCTCCCTGTGGTCCCAGCCAGGACGGGGTACCATCAGCACAGCCCACTTCCTGTCCCTGGCAGTCCTTGGACTACAGCCTGACTTGTCCATAAGTGTTAACCCCCCCAGTATTGACAAGAAACTTCAGAAGTTTCTGAAAAGCTCAGCTTACGTCCTCACTTTGGAAAATGCATTGAAAGTGGACCTGGGAGAGCTCAGAGCTAAGAAGTCGGTTGATGGAAGGTAAAGAAGGAAGACAAAGTGGGCCTGGGAGCTCCTCGCTCAGAACCCTCCCCTCCCTTCTCTGATGGCTTCTGTGCCAGAGTTTGGGCCCCCCTCAGCTCTGCTCAGTCCATGCACCCTGAGAGGGCTGACCTTCAGGGCATCCTACACTGTGGACAGCACTGGGGGTGAAGAACTGAAAGTAGCCCATTTTCGGGGCACCCGGGTGGCTCAGTTGGTGAAGCGGCTGCCTTCGTCTCAGGTCATGATCCCAGGGTCCTGGGATCGAGCCCCGGGTCGGGCTCCCTGCTCGGTGGGAAGCCTGCTTCTCCCTCTCCCACTCCCCCTCCTTGTGTTCTTTCTCTAGCTGTCTCTCTCTCTGTCAGTTAAATAAATAAATAAAATCTTTAAAAAAATAAAGCCCATGTTCTATCTTTCCAGGCTGGTCTGGGCCAAAGTGAAGGCCTTCTCAACTCAGTAGGAGATTTTGAGCCTGTAAGTCAGCCAGCAAGCTGTGCCCGGTGCATGAAGGAGAGCGAGATGGACAGGGAGGTGACCCCCACGGCCTACCTGTTGGGGACCCGGGTCCAGAAGCCAGGCTCCCCAGAGTGCAGATTGGAGCCATGGAGCCGTGTCACCTCCACCCTGATGGTTCTCAAACTCCTTCCTTTTGGTCTGCTTCTCGGTCTGTGCAGGGAATATATAAAAAGTGACAGCAGGGCTCTGGGAATGCCGGAATGTTCTATTACCACTCCAGGGCTTTTTTCACAGGCCGCGGTGCCTAACGGTCAGGGGCTGGGCGGCCTGATGGAGCATTCCTGCCCCCGCTATCTCTGCAGAGAAAGCGCCTCATGCTATTGCTGTAATTATGTCCTCTTTAATATTACCATTTTATTTTTTAAAGCAATGAGCTACTTAGTTTCTTTTGCAACAGAGAGGAGGAAATTGAGGATTCAGGATTCAGCGGTTGGCTTTTCCCACTGAATTGTCCCCGCTGCATCTCACCTGTCACGAGGCTTGTATTCCCAGATTCGAAAGCCTGAGTCTGGGTCCGGGTGGCCCCCTTCCCTGGTGTCTGCAGCCTTCAGACGGAGCCTGCCTCATTCCTGGCTCCATTTCCAGTGCGAGCACACCCCCAGGGGGCAGGTGCAGGGGCCCGAGACCTTTCCAAGGGGGCTCTCCTTAGCCTGAGCCGGGCCTGCACTGTGAGGTCAGTGTTACTCACAGATCCCCATTTCACAGATGAGGAGACTGAGTCACGGGGCCACTGTGCCAGGTTCCCACAGCTAGTTAACAATGAAGCCAGACTGCAGCCCAGTCTGATTCTAGAGCCCCCCCGCCCCTACTTTGACATGGGAGGTCGTAAATGGTGCTCTAGCATCCTTATAGCAAACACTGTGCTTTGCAGTTGTGATTGACTCCCCAAGCAGTGCTCATGGCACAGAGGGGAAAGTGAGTCTCACCTGCCTGAGGTCACAGGGGCTGGGGCCACAGGGCTGCGCTCCAAGTTCACCTCCATCCCGGCATTACCGAGAGCCGTACGTTCCTTGGACAGGCTGTACCCCAGGAAAGCACAGGCCCACAGGAGGACTCTCCTCCTGGCTGAACCATGGGCGGGGGGTAGGGGGGGCGGCAGAGACCCTGGCCTGCTCGCTGTGGAGAAGCTTCTGCGTCGCGCCCTGTATGAGACGCTTGAATGTCCATGCATCGAGGGAGGCTCAGCCTGCTCCCTGCAGCCCTTGCTCCAGGCCTGTGCCCCAGGCTGAGATCTCACATCCTAATTTGCTTCTAGAACGAGCCCCGGCACTGCCCAGGTAGTCACTGAAAAGGTACCTCGCGGTGCTAGATGCCCCTTCAACTGCCGGCTTCAGGAGGCACGGTGGAAGGTGACCAACCACGACGGAACATTTCTCTTTGTGCCTTAGTATTCGCTCAAGTCCTCTCCTGTGTAGCCCTGGACACGTGCCCCACCTGAGCCTGCTGCCACGGATAGCGGCTTCTTGCCTTTCCGTCTTGGGGGTCTGTGACGTCGCTGGCCTGCAGGCTCTGCTGTGTTTGGGAGGTGGCCGGGGCAGGGCGGCCGGTGTGGGCTCCGAGCTCCTGCCCCTGGAGCCCGGTCTGCGTCTGCCCCTGCCCCTGGCCTGTCAGCCCGGCCTGTGCTGGGAATCTGAAAGCCGTGGACTTGGCCATGAGACAAAAAGCACATCTTAGCTTTTAATACTGAGACTATATATAGACCTCTGGGGGGGCGGCCGTGAGTGGCAGGGAGGGGAGAGCGAGTTTACAGAAAAGTGCATTCGGGCCAGGAAGAAGATTAAGTACCGGGGCCAGACCTGATTTGGGGCAGGGAAATTGATAAACAGACTTCAACGTGATCGAAGTGTTCTAGCGAAGCTGACGATTGTAATCCGGGAGAAACTCCCCCGACGCTGAGCAAAGAGGAAGCTCGGGAGCACGCTGGGTTTGGCAGAGGACATGGTAGACTGTACAATTAGCATATTTCTAAGGAATTATCTGGACCCGGTAATACTTTCTAAATTCGTTTCTCTTTCATATTAATGCATTGTTTTGTGTTTTTGTTTTGTTTTGTTTTTGGGGGGTTTTTTTGGAAATTTGGACCTACAGACAAAAAGACCTATTTTCATTGTTTAAATTAAATGTCACTTTTATGGAGCCCCTCGTGTCAGCTGTACTTGAATATTTAATTTGTTTCGTGGAAGTATAACTTCTGTCGAGCAAAATGTGAACTTCCGGAAAGAGATGAGTAGGTTTCTATAAAAATGCATGTGAGTGGCAAGCTTGTCCCTCAGTCCTGATTGGCTCCCCTGGGGATTTCTATGGGATGGCTGAGAGGGGGCCGGCAGGGGTGATGACAGCAGGGACAGGCCTCGTGGGACTGGACGATCCCCATTCCTGCTCCTGCATTCACTCCTTGCAACAGGGACTTGACCCCACAACTCGCCCTCTCCTGCCGGACAACATTTGCACCTGGGAAAAGGAGTTTGCACCTGGGGAAAGGGACAGAGAGGGGATAAGAGAGCTGCAGACACTTGGTCAGGACCCGCTGACATTCAGAGGCCGCCGAGCTGTGGGCACAGATTTCTGGGACACTTGGCAGACGGGCCTGGATTCAGAGAACCTGCGTGCTCGGGCTCTGGGCGTCCCGCGTTTCGTTTCTCTGTCACGGGAACATGGGGAGCAGGGCTTTCTCAGGCCAACAAGCTCCGCACTGAAGTGGGGAGCCCTTTGGGGGCCGATTGCATCTGGCCCAGGGAGTGACCTGAGTGGTCTGCCCCGTGTGGCTTGATTCACAACCTAGCAGCCCTGCGGCCGCTTCCCCACCTGCCCGGAGACAGCCCTCCCTGCCCACCCAGCTCCCCACACCTCTGCACAGCCCACTACTTCTGGGGCAGCCCGGGAGGGGCCCAGCCCGGCAGGGACAGTGGAAAAGCCGGGGACAGACTCCCGTTCAGGACACTGTCTCAATTTAAAATGCCATCTTGTTCCTCTGACTGCTTTTTCCATGCTGTTGAGGTAAGGTGGTTTTTTGGTTTTGTTTTTAAAGCATCCCATGTTCCCCCAGAGGCTGCATCCCTATCGCTCTGTCGCTGGGGCAGAGGATATTTATGATCCCGGGGATTTCTGCTTGACTGTCCTTTTACCCGGGAACACGTCATTCGTGGTGGCTTTGAACGGTACCAGGGAAATGAAGCTGGCTTGTCATTCTGTAGCGGGGGGGGGAATGGGGGCCAAAGAATTTGGTGACTATGTTCCTACTCTGCCCCGTCCTTTCAGTACTTTAAATTTCAGCAGATTCATACTTACTCGTGTCGACTCTCCCTGAGCCTTAGTGAACTGACCTGTGTGTGTGTGTGTGCAGGGGGGTGACGGGGTGCCGGCTGCTGCACCCCAGACCCTGGGAACAGACAGCAGGTGGACTCATCAGAAGTTAGGATGTGGGTTGCTCCATTTGTCTGTGCAGTTGGTCCCGCTATGAAATGTCCAGCCCCGAGACCACCGGCGGTATTTGACACGCATTCTGGCACTTCCTGAGACAGGTGGCTGGGGGGCAGCTCGTCCGCTCCGGCCTGGCCGTGCGCCCTGTGTGCCCTGAGGTGTCCTGGCATCTCAAGAACTTCCTGCCGTAACCCTGCATGCCCCGCCACGGCGGGCCACTGCTTGCTGCTTGGAAGGACAGAACGCTGCCGTGCTTACCTTTTCTGTTGGATCTCGATGCAGCATTTATTCCCGGAAAACCCAAGTGGCTCATTAAGCATGCCCTTTGTATGTTGCAGGATGTGAGAGTCTTCAGTGAGGACGGGACGAGCAGAGTGGTGGAGATTGCTGCAGACATGACGGCCAGGGACCTGTGTCAGCTCCTGGTTTACAGAAGTCACTGTGTGGACGACAATAGCTGGACGCTCGTGGAGCACCACCCGCACCTGGGGCTAGGTAGGGAGCGCGCTGGGGGGCCCGATGCGCGGCCCACGGAGCCCCTGCCCCGACAGCGAGACGTCTGCGTGCCGTCCCCTCTCTGCTGCGCACCTGTTTCTCCTGCCTCCCTCCCAGCGTGCCCGCCGCCAGCTGCTTCCAGAAGCTTGCTCGGGAGGGCGGCAGCGCCGTTCCCCAGGGCGCACACAGCAGAAAGGTTCTCTCTGTGATTTGGTTGGAGAACCGGCCGTGGCAGGTGCTCGGGGCCTGGTGCACAGCCACGGTCTGGAGAGGGCAGCCTGGCAGGGCTTGTGGGGTCAGGTGGGGAGCACCGTCCTGGGATCACTGCGCAAACAGCAGTTCATCCACGTCACGGGAGTGGGGTGCTGCGCTGACGGCCTGCAGAAGTTGGAGCGTTCTGGTGTATCTCTGGGCTGGTTCACAGTGTTTTCACTGAGCGCGCACACGTGTGTGTGTCGTGTGTAGAGGGCAAGAGGATATTTTGAAATAGGTGCCGTTTACAGAACTTACAGAGATATGGGGGTTTTGTGGGGTTTCTTGCTCAGGTGGTCTATCTCAGGTCAAGAAGCTTTTCAGACTTCTGTTGAAATTCTTAGCGGATAATGTGTGGTACTTACAAAATCACAGGCACGCACTTAAAACCAGAATTTTCTCCAAATCCACAACTGTATGTCTTCCACGTGCTGAAGGAGAAAAGCTATCACAGAGTTCTTCCTGTGGTTCTGAACTTTTCTCCTGAACCTTTCTGGAAGATTAAGAGATCAAGTTTAAACTTCCAGGTCTGGAATATTCATGTAACGAAATAGTGTTCTTTTCAATGATGTTATACAGTCCAAGCCTAAACACTGCCATGTAACTTTGAGTCGGCGTTGTTTTGTTTTAAGATTTTATTTGTTTTTTTGTTAGAGGGTGAGCATGCACAAGGTGGCTCCCCACTGAGCAGGGAGCCCGACGCGGGGCTCGATCCCAGGACCCTGGGATCATGACCTGAGCCGAAGGCAGACGCTTAACCTACTGAACCACCCAGGCGCCCCTGAGTTGGTGTTGTTTTTAAGTTACTATAGCAGCAGGTGACCCCGTTGGCAAGCTCCAGTTTGGGACACCCACGAATGGATCCTACACTGATCTGATGGGGCCACCAGCAGCATCTGCTGATGCACACATAACTTGGAAATTAAACAATAGTTATAACCCTGCAGCATGTATGGACGCATACACACGCCAAGCATGCATTTATACACATATATACATACATGCATACGTGCACACACAGAACGGACTTCAAAGACACAGCTCTGGACTTGGACCCAATATGAATATTCTGGAAGCCTGTTCAAAAGTCTGAATACTCTTAATTTGAAAGAAATTATAGAAAGGCCTTCTGCAGATATTGTAATATAGGAATATGTTTGTCCACACCAAAAGCGCGTATAAAATGGGGACGGATACACTCAGAAAAACTGAACATACAAAGACTGTAGGAAGATTCACATATTTTTTGTCGTAGCTGTTGATTTCTCAAACATGATGCCAGAGATAAAGAATTTCTATACAGCAAAACTTCAGAAATCATCACCCACATGAAAAAAGAATTTATTCTGAGAAACTCGTGGAAGAAATACACGTGCACACTCAGTATTCTTTTTTTTTAATTTAATTTAAGTTTATTATGTTAGTCGCCATGCAATACATCATTAGTTTTTTGATGTGGTGTTCCACGATTCCTCCATGCAGAGGGCACACACAGTATTTTTAGGGATACGATAGTTTTCTCTTTTATTCCATATTTTTCTTATTCACGGATGGACTTAACATACTCTAAAGGGGATAATTTTTTTTCTAAGATTCTATTTATTTGAGAGAGTGTCAGCCTTGAATCCCCGCGATCAGGCGTGAGTGCGCTCGCCTGGGGCAGAATTCTTTAAGGGATGATGTTCTGGGGGCGCTTCTGGGTTCTGGCACGCAGTCAGGTGACCCCCCACTCTCGGGCAGAGCCGTCCAGCCCCACGTCCCCAGTTACAGACAGGACCCTCTGGAAAGTCGCTTTCTCTGTTGTGCGTTGGGGAGGCTCTGGGGACCTGCACATACACGAGGCCTGCGGTTCGGGCGCCAGGCAGACAGCACATCGGATCTGGAAGGCTGATACCAGGCAGACCGTCGCCCCCGATAACTGAGGCATAAGTGAGCTAATTCCAATGGCACTCTGAGCCTGCGTATAGCCTTAGAATTGAGGATTTCAAGGCACAATGACTACCCTGATCTTCGCAGGTAAAATATTAGAGCCTTAGCGATGTTAAACTTTTCCCAGCCAGGAGTGACGATTGAGAAAAGGTGGTTTTGTTTGCACTAGCAGAAGACCACACATGGGTGCGTGTGGTTGCAGCCCTCGGCGGCCCCCGTGGGCGGGGGGCATCATACTCGGGGGGGAGCAGGGGCAGAGGTGCCGGCTGGTGCTCGGCGGGCAGTGTCTGTGGCTGGTGGGAATGTTCCCGCCCCGTCTGAACCATGCTGCTCTCACAGCCCGGTTAGTGCCTTTCTTCAGCCGCAGCGTCAGCTCCTGAAGTCACTTAGCCACTCGAGGCCCTTTGACAAGTTGGGGCAGAGCCCTTAGTGATGGACGATCTTAGGGCAGCTGGTCCATGCCTTGTGACTCCCAGCTCTGGCTGTGGATGTGATCTCTTCTTATGTTAGTGAGACCCACACGTTGTGCCCGTGATGGGGTGCAGGTCTCAGCCTCGGTCTTCTGTGTCGAGCTCTCAGCCTTTCGAACACTGTCCCTGACTGGGTCCACTCAGCGGCCACCGGGGCCAGCATGCAGACGGCATCCTGGCGCCCCCATGGCATTGACAGTGTGACTGCAGGCGAGCTGCATCCCCGGGAGGGCGGGGGCGCCCCCACCCAGGCCCTGGGTGACCACAGGCACCAGGCCAGATGAACAGGGGAGCCCGGTCAACATGGAGAATGGTGACGGGAGGACAGCTCCCGGGAAGTCCGGGGATTTGGGGGACTCTGTTGTTGCGAGAATTAGGTTGCAGCCCTCCAGGAAGAAGCCTGAGCTCTCTGGGCCGTTGACAGCGTTGTGTGTGTACCTGGCCAGGTGAGAGAGGCGCAGCGGTCACCCTCTGGAGGACCTGGCCGCAGCAGGGACGCTGCCATCCGGATGTGCCTACAGGTGTCAAAAGACAAACAGCCGCCGTGCTCAGCCCTCGGTGCTCAGAAGGGCCTTCGAGGGCTGACCTTTCCCATCTCTGTCTCCCTGTCTTGCCAGCCGAAAGGCACCGGAATGCTGCTTGTTGGGCGTGCGCAGACGTCGGGGTTGTTTTCCGTGGTATCTCCCCCTCGACTTCGTGCGCAGTCCCCAGTCCCGCAGAGCCCCGAGCCGCTGTTACAAGCGTGCTGACGGCCGGCTCTGCTCCCTGCGGTGGCTGAACCGTGCGGGTGAAGCCCCAGGCGCGGGGCCGCAAGGCGGGACGCTGCCGCGAGCCGGGGCGGGCAGCTCAGGCTTCTGCCAAGGACTCGCATGTCCGCGCCACATTTTAAGGCAAATATATGCCCTTTTGAGTTGTGTGATCTGTAACCTTTTTGCATGTGGAGTAGGGTGGTGGCGTAGACGCTGGATTTGGTGTCAAAACGTGGAAAAAATACGAATCCCCTTTGAGGAGTGTCCGACTCTTCCGTTTGTACAAAAAAATCCTTCGGGATTTTTGATGAAATGTCGCTTTCCATTGTGATTATAGGAAGTTGATGGATGGCAACGGGGTTGTTTAATAGACGCACCCAAGGTCGTTTGAAAATACCTGTTTTTGGAATCATAGGGCAAGTGAGAACTGGAGAAAAAGACTTTGAGCTGAAGTTGGCGGAGTGGCTTTTTCACAGCTGGGAAAAGTGGTGCGTGGACATCCAGTGGCAGACGGGGGTCTCTGGGAAGGGGGTCACACACAGTCTTCCTGAGCCCCCTGCTGGTCCAGGCTCCGGGCCCCCTGCGGGCTGGAGAAGGGGAGGCACCTGTGGGTACCTGAGCCCCCACGGGTGGTGCTGGAGTGGAGGAACACACCCCTTTCAGGGCGCATGGGTTCCCCGCTCCCCTCTGCCCGGCCGCCTGGGCCCAGTCTGTGCGCATCTGTCCCGGGATCTTGCCTCGGTGGGAGGGACGTGGGGAGGCTGGAGGACAGAGGTCTGTGCACGTGTGTGCGCGTGCCCCTCAGAGCTGCTCCCTCCCCACGGGTCCCCCGCGGCTTCCTCATGACGCTGTGCAGAGGGAACGCTCTGCTTTGGAACGCGGCATCGGCTCGTGCTCACTTAGGTCGCTATAACCCCGCTGGTCTATTTTTCCTTATTTTATCTGGTGAAAAATTTCAGGTTTGTGAACCAACCATCAGCCGGTTTGGGGTGCTTGGCTTTTGTCCCTATACCTACAGAAATGGTTTTTTCTGACTAAACTTCAGAACAGAAGTCACTGATTCAGTTTTGCACCAGAAAATCCATTTTAAATGAATACCAACCTGAGCCAGTCCCCTTTTCTGAAAGTAAAGGCAGGGGTCGCAATCTCGCGCTCAAGCCAAACGTGGCTCCTCCCTCCGTCGTGGGGACACGCAGGGCAGGGTCGTGGGTCCCTTGTTGCCGGCAGATTCCCTCGCAGCCAGAAGCAGGCGAGCCTGTTCGTGGCTCTCGGCCGGCACCAGGCGTGGCCCTGGACCTCCTCTTAGCTCGCAGCGCGTGAAGAGGAACGGGTCGTCAGTGGGGGAAGCCACCTTGCAGGTTCTACCTGTGTCTTCTCACACGTACATTTTTTCTTCTGCAGAAAGGTACCTGGAAGATCATGAGCTGGTGGTCCAGGTGGAGAGTACCATGGCAAGCGAAAGCAAGTTTTTATTTAGGAAGAATTACGCAAAATACGAGTTTTTCAAAAATCCTACGGTGAGAGTTTTTACCTCTTTCGGCTCGGGGTTTGGGACTCTTGCAGTCTTGGGGTTGATACTTGGGATCAGTAGCAGCAGAGGATAACGTAACTGAGGTGGACGTAGAGGGCGGCAGAAGGGTTTGAGAATCTGGGGTTACTGTCTCTTGGAGTGGTCCTTGCTCAGACCCAGTGTCTGATGCTTAACTAAGTGCCTTTGTGTAGTGGCCAGAGGTAACGGGGGTGGTTTTCCACGGTAGCAGAGGGAAAGGGGGTTAGCCTCTGAGTCGGGAGAGATGAGGGGTGGGTTTTTCAGTTCTATCAAAAGTTCATGGTTAAATTAGAACAAATCGGTTCAATATGCAGCAGAATAAAAGCTCATTGCTCCCTGCAAATAGCAAATAATACTTTGTGGTTTGTGGAAGAATGAGTTTCCAGGCACGTTGGGCTAGATCTTTCTTTCCTTTTTATTTTTCTGGGGGGCAGTGGGGGGAGCACGTATCCTGTGACCTGTCAGGATAGGGAGCCTCCCGCTGCCCTACCATGCGCTCCTGTCCTGAGGCATGAGGCCGAGCCGTTGTGACGTGAGCAGAAGACCCACCGTCAACTTCTGGCTCAGTGGTTTAGCTGCTTTTTTATTTGAAAGCAAGAGATTTGATAACGGATTTTGCGTAACACCGTGTGGCGACCCTCGGCCTTGGTGCATGCTGAGAGACACGAATCCACATTAAACATGATAGATACTCCGACCTCGAACTCGCCATTTAAGGAAAATGGCAACTTTGGAAGTAGGCGTTTCCACCATGGGGTAGGGGAGGACAAAGGAGCGTCATTTTAAATACAGATGGACGTCCGTGTGCCTGTCAGGGATGTTTTTAATACTGGCATCCCCGTAAGGCTGCTTTTCCCCACTTTTAAACTAACTTAATGGATTTGTTTTCCCATTTCCTTAGAATTTCTTCCCAGAGCAGATGGTTACTTGGTGCCAACAGTCAAACGGCGGTCACAACCAGCTTTTGCAGGTACTGGGCAAGAAAGTGTTTCTGGGTGGACATTCTCTCGCGCTGAGGTGGCAGCCCCTCAAAACCGTGATGGGGTTGCATTCTCCGTCACGTCCTAGCCTTGGCTCCTGACGGGGTGTAGAGTACCCAGAAGTAAAGGTTGACTTGGGAAACGTGTGTGCAGCCAGGCTCCTTCGAAGCAAAACAAGCACTTACAAACAGGATAAGCTTCCTCCGAGCTAGAAGCAGCGTGAGCAGAAGGGCGGGAGAGAGAAGCCACAGGCCGGCGCGTTCTCCTCCAGGCTCCCGGCTCCTCCGGAGCTCGGGTCCGGGTCAGGCCGCCGCCCTGGGGATTTCTGCACAGAGACCAAGCCCCCTTACCGTAAAAAAGGATTGGCTGCCATTAAACCTTTTAAAAGGGAGCAGAGTGTACATTAAAATTAGTTATCTGTCTGTCTTCATTGTCCCTCTGCCTTCTGAAGTCTGTTCAGGAAAACCTGGCCTTTCCCCAGCCCCTCCCCGGGGCGGGGGGGGGGGGGGGCGCTCCAGCCTCGCTCCCAGACCTGGCTCTTGAACTCGGTTTCCCGAGAAAGGTATGCTGCACGAGGGAGGGGTCAGCTGGGACAGCGGCGTCACCCAGGCGTTCCTGGAGAGATCCATCAGCTCACTCCTCTGTGGAGGGCGATTCGGTGAAAGTGATGTGCCTGGTCTCCGTCCACACTGCTCCCAGCGCTTCCTGTCGCCCTAACTCTGATGATCAGGCTGCATGTTTTATGGAAACCCGGGAGAAAGGGCAGGGCCCTTAACCCTACCGTCTTATAGGGAAATCCGTGACGTCCCGTTTTTTTGTCAGCGTTAAGGAAGGTCCATTGGCTCGCGTGTGCTTGAAGACTCATGATGTTTCCTGCACACCAATTTACGTGGGGTTTTAAGATTTTTGAAAGGAAAACTTACCATTTGAAAATGCTTGGTTTGACCAGAAAAGAGTATTTCTGTAATTCAGACGATGTCCAGATGTCTCCGATGGCAGCCAGACGCACCTGCTCTCGTCCTCCCCTCCTTAGCAACAGCTGACGCTGATGCATCTCTTCCACAGAACTTCCTGAACTCCAGTAGTTGTCCTGAAATCCAGGGGTTTTTGCACGTGAAGGAGCTGGGGAAGAAGTCGTGGAGAAAGCTGTACGTGTGTTTGCGGAGATCGGGCCTTTATTGCTCCACGAAGGGGGCGTCAAAGGTGGGTTTAACCACCGTCACCCCAGGCCGGGGGCATTCAGAGTGGATGCGGCTTCCCTTGAAAATGCACATCTGGGTCCCCCGAGCTTATGATAACTGGTTAAGCTATGTCCGAGTTCCTGGTCCGCTGGCCTCCCTCGGAAACCAGGCAACAGCCCAGACCCACGGGCCTCTGTGCAGCCCCGGCCCCCTCTGTGGCTTGGGAGAAGGGCCTCCTTGGCGGCCTGAGTCCCTGAAGGATGCAGACTCAGTTCCCCTAGTTTGGAAGTTAGCATCCAAGCTGGCCGTGGGACGGCTGATAGATTGTTGCCAAGCTAGTACGCGTTATCGTAGATACTCCTGGGAAGAGATTGGAGTTGTGCGTGTATTTCCAGTGGGAAGAGCAGGTGTGAAACGGAAAATACAGCTGCAGGCCTCCAAAGAGAGCTGGGGCGTTGGGGGCTCACCTTGCTGGTTGGTGTCCTTGCACACAACTGCTTGCACACTGTTCTTGTGATGTGTGAGCACACTCTGCAGCAGGAGAGGGCCCCGCAGACTGTGGCCAGGCGTGCATCATTCCTGCCGGGACAGACGAGGGAGGGCTCGGTGGGACCCCAGGCGAGGGTGCTGAGGGCCAGGTGCCTTCCAGCCACTCTGGGCGGTCAGCAGCTGTCCTGCATGAGCCGGGGACAAGGGGCGTGGGCAGGTGGAATAGCTTCCATCTGGGATGGGGAGGGACGGGCAGGGACGGGCAACTTGATTTCCCGACTGCCCAGCGCCCTCGTAGATGCTGACCCCAGAGCAGGAAGCAGAACTGGGACGATGGAGGCTTAGGGACAAGGATGGGGCAGGCTGTCAGTGGGAGAACTGCAGGACGTCTGGACTCTGCACACCAGGGCAGCAGACTGGGTGCGGGCCGAACATTGCAGCGTGCTCTTCACTTTGAACGTTAGGCTCCAGACGTTCTCCTGGTTTTCATTTTGAATGGTTAGGGGGCTTTGATATGGCAGAGTCTCAAACACGTTGTCACAGTGCGTTGTTTTGCTTGTTTTTTTAAGGATTTTATTTATTTATTAGAGAAAAAGAGCACAAGCAGGGGGAGGGACACAGGCAGAGGGAGAAGCAGGCTTCCCGCTGAGCAGGGAGCCCCAAATGGGGCTCGACCCCAGGACCCCGGGATCATGACCTGAGCCGAAGGCAGATCCTTATCCAACGGAGCCACCCAGGCGCCCCTGTTGTCACGGTCGTGGGAGGTGGGTTTTCTTGGCGAGGGCTGGGTGCGTTTCGGCTAATTTAGCGCTGATTTCATAGGACGGTTCCATCCGTGGACCATGAGAGGGGAAGGCACGCACAGTGTACACAGACTGCCCTCTGTTGACGAGCACGTGCAAGCGCCTGCCGTCTGCCGTGCTTGAGAAGTTCTCCCTGTGAAGCTGAACCCCCCCTTTCCACAGGAGCCCCGACACCTGCAGCTGCTCGGGGGCTTGGAGGAGAGCAGCGTCTTCTCTCTGATCACCGGCAGGAAGCAGTACGGCGCCCCCACCGACTACGGCTTCTGCATAAAGGTACCACACCCCCGCCCTGTCTGGGGTCTGCCGCTCCTGATGGCATCCCACTGGGACTTGGGAATGAAACCGTGAACTCCTTTCTTGCTGCTGGGGTTGTATGGGTTATTTTCTAACGGAAGCACCGGTTCACGGTGGATTGATTCATTCCTGGTTGCTCACAACGTGTTGATCCCTGAGTAGCTAGCAACTTGGGGAGAAGCAGAGGACGTGACGGGGGGTATGTGTCGATGGGCTCCGTGGCTTAGTGACCCCCAGCCTGTCACTTGGGGGGCCTCTGGGGTACTGAGAGCTGACACTTTCCGTAGGGGCTTCCAGTCCCCAGGACGATGGGTGTGCCCCCTGCCCTGCCTCTGTGCACACGTGTGTGAGAGCACGTGCTCACGCATATTTCCACACATGCACACACCTACACGATCACACAGATGTGCACACATACATGAATACAAGGAGATGCACACACACGCGTGCACGCGCAGACATACACAGATCTCCGTGAATACAAGGAGATGCACACACATGCGTGCACGTGCACACATGCACTGATCTCCATGAATACAAGGAGATGCACACACATGCATACATGTTCACACACACCCTTGTGCACAGGGCCCACTCTCCCCTGGTGAGGCCGTGCTGGTGGTGGTCATGGTCACGGTCACGGTGGAGGCTATTTACTGCGTGCTCACTGCACACAAAGAGGTCCGCTAAGGGCTCGCTCTCCGTCCCCTTACTGCATCTTTCCAGGTGCTCCTAGGAGCCGAAGCAGCCCCATTGCTCACATCCAGTCACCAGCGAGTGTGCTTGGAGTCCCCCAGCCGGGCTGACTTCGGAGCCAGGGCTCCACCCCAACCCGAGGAGAGGTCAGGGAGCAGGGGGCATGCTGCTCCCTAAAATACCAGCTTGTACTTGACCTGGTGAAGCTTCTTGGGGTTGCAAGTAGCAGGAGCCCTAGGACCTGAGGTGCACAGGAAAGCAGTATGAGGGCGGCCTCTGGAGCGCAGGTGGCCAGTGTCCCCCCCCCCACCTTCCCACCAGCCCACACCTGCAACGCTTCTCCCCCATCGCCAGGTAAACCCTGCCTCTGCATCGGGGCACCTGCCATCCCTCTACAGTGGCCTGTGTGACAGTGACCCCCGCCTGCTCCAGGCTGCTTGCCCCCCAAATTCCCCTTCTCCGGGGTGACGCCGGCCTCACTCTCTGGACCTTCCATGGGTCCGTCCTTGGGGCCACTCAGATACGCCACAGGCCCTGATCCCCTCGAGGGCTTCTCCCCTCACTGGCTGAGCCCCGCAGGGGCCCTTCCTCAGCCACCACCTCAGTCTTCCGGGGAGGCAACCAGACATCTTTTCTTCCATAACTCCGGGCCCGGCTCTCCGGTTGAATCCAACTTTCCCCACACAGACCTAGGTATCCCCTTGTCCCCGTGGCACCCACCGCCTTCCCTTGTGAGTTTGTCTCCCCGAGATCCCCCTGTTGGGGGCTGGCCGAGCACTCGTGCCTACACCCAACCCAGGCTGGTCCGTGCCCCGCGGAGGAGGCACCCTCTCTGGTCGCGCCCTGCCAGCCGTCTGGTGCGCGCCAGGCCCAGCCCTGCCCACCACGGGCTCACTGTGTCGCACTCACTGAGTCGTCTCTGACCTCCTGTAGCCAAACAAAGTCAGGAACGAGACGAAAGAGCTGCGGTTGCTGTGTGCCGAAGACGAGCAAGGCCGAACGTGCTGGATGACGGCGTGCAGGCTCCTCAAGGTAGGCGGCGTCCTGTGTGTGCGCCATGCGCATCTCTTCGTGGAGAGCCCTCCCCACGGCCCGCCAGCCCCGTGCGCCCGCACGTCTTTCCAAACGGTCTCAGAAGCTTCTCACGAGGCTTCGCGTTAGAAAGGTCAGAGCCGGCTTCCGGCCTCGGCACCTGACCTTCAGGGACGCGGTGTTTCTCCCACCGAATGCCAGGAGCACCCCAGCCAGTTGAGACAACCAAAACCGTCTCCAGACGTGACCAGATGTCCCCGGGGTTGGGGGTGGTGCATGGAAGCGGGGGACTGTGCTGGCTGAGAGCCCGTGGTCTAGAGAAATAGGAAGAGAAAGCCCAGACCGGGAGACAGGGAGAGACAGCAAACAGTCCGCCAGGGGGGTTAATGCTTTCCAAGACTGAGCATCGGACTCTAGCTTCCCGAAAAGCTGGGGCCCCGAGGGAAACGTGGCACGCCGTGCAGCTCGCCATGGCGCCCGATGGACATGGCATCTCCTGCCAACACATTCTTAAAGGGGACTGTTGCACAGAACCTCACATGGGAAGGTGCCCTCGGCAGCAGCTCACGGTGACTGCCAAGGTGTTTCCTGTGGCAAAGGCTCGCGTAACAGCAGAGAACGCCTCCCTTCTGCGTTCCCACGAGATATCCCTTTGTGCACATCCTTGCGCCACGTGGTCGCAGTTTCTTATGTATATAAGGCCCGTGGGCATTACACGGTAGTTGCGCATGCTGGTTGTGCAAGATGAACGGTGAGGGGTCAGGAGGAGAAGTTGTTTTGGTCAGCTGGGGCCGAGGCATCTCTTTACGAAAACCCCAGCCTTCACCGAAGCTTTCAGCGGGGCAGAGAGTCAGGGCGGAGCCCCCTAGAGAAACGGACGCACGGAAGGAGGCGTAGCTCACGACCCTTTGGAGATGCCAGAGAGCACAAGCTCCAAGGACGGGCATCCCGTAAGCCTCTCTTTCCCAGAACCGTGCCTTGTTTGATTTTTGCCGCCGATAAAACAAAGAAGGGTTAAGCGTAAAATGTTCTGATTTCGTAATCGGGGAGTGTTGGTACAGGACGTCGGCGACTCCTTTACAAGCCCGCTTCAGAAGTAGGGGACGGCCATTCAGAGGAATACTCCTCGGTGACACAAAGAACGAGGTTCTCTCTGGAGTATGTTGTGGGAAAATTTCCAGGACGTATTACTAAGAATTAAAAAGCGAAGTGCTACCTTTGTTGTAGGAGCAAGGAAAGGAGAAGCTAAAACGCACCAGTGCGTTTGCCCGTGTGCACGTGAGCCCTCGGTGAGACTGCTGGGGGGCAGGGCGGGCACGGACCCGCACACTCGGGGGCGGATGTGGGACGGACGTCTTGACTGGTTTCTGTATGTGATTTTCTGGATCTGCGGATACGTAGTCTATTGGAAAAAGCAGAAAAGGAAGTGGGAGCACATCTGTGAAACCTGTGGGTTTGGTGCTTTGGGGTAGCACACGGTAAATCCAGGTAGCGAAGTCTCCCCTCGGCCTCATGCGTGAGGAAGCAGGGCCGGCGGGACAGGACAGGACAGGACAGGACGGGACGCTCCTTGGGCGCTGGTGTAACAGGACCGGGCACAGGGAGGGAAATGCACAGAACAAGCAATGCCAGTAACATCCAACTTTATTATTAGCGCCAACAGGAATGTGTCCCGTCGGTTGTTAGTGTATTGGGAACGTTCGTGAGCACTTGCTGTCAGTGGGCTGCTCATCACTTCTAACCTGCGGCCCCCTCCCCGTCGTCATCCTCACCGGACCAATGGCAGATCTGAAGCCCCTCGCGTCCTGCCCAGGGGGCCGGGGCTGGGGGGTCCTGGCGTGAGGCACGGTCGGCTCCAGAGCCACCCTCTGTGACAGCCAGCAGGAAGGGGACGCCTGTCCACGTCTGCACGTGGCCCCGTTGCCTCCAATCAGCCCCAGACCCCACATGCCAAAGTGCCATTCCCGAAGGAGGTGGGGGACCTGGACCCAACGGCCACCAGTGTGGTCGTGACGGGCTCTGGGCCAGTGTAAGATGACGCAGAGGCTGAGTTGCCTTCGGTCCCAGCTGGTCAGTAACGCGCGAGGCATCTTGCCGCCACCGAGCAGGCTGGTGGACCTCATCCCACGTGAGACTTCCTTACTTCGCCCTCCTCCCCTCACTGTCCCGTCTCAAACGGCCTTGGTCTCAGAGTGGGAAGCATACTCAGAAGACCATAGCCCCTTGCCTTGCCCCCCGGTGTTACCTTCAGAATGGGGCGTATTTCCTTCCAGGGGTCAGGGCCATTTGAAACCATGGGGAGACCTTACAAAGTGCCTTCTGTTCTCTCAGCCCAGCTCCCGGATGTGAGCACAGACTCCGGTCCCTCATCTGTCCGTCTCCCTGACCGGGAGAAGGTCCATCCGTCCACCCTCCCTGCACTTGCTCCGTGCCGGGTCTCGGTCCGGACGTCATCTTGCCTGGTGCCCCCCAACATTCTCTTGGAGAGCCGGGACTGCCTGGCGCTCAGGACATAATAGATGCTCAGAAAAATTGAGCTGAATGACGGCAGGAATCACCCAAACTCATGTGTCCAGCTGTGACCCTTTCTTTTCTGACGCTCTTCCTCCCTCTCGTCCACCGGGTGTCCTGGGCAAGGCTGGCCTTGACCCAGGGCCGGCGGGGTCAGGGGGTGGGGGCTTGGACCTCAGAGAGTCTGGGTCTTGGGCCGGAGTCCCAGGGGTCTTGCCTGCGCAGACTAAGGAGACGCTGGGCTGCACCTTTTCACGGTTGATTGGAGGTCTTGTAGGTACTAAGTGATGGCAGGTCCCCCGAGCTTGAGCCCTAGTCTGTCCTGTTCCCCAGAAGGGGGTCAGACGGACGTGTCCTCATGTTGCCTTTCTGCTGGCCCCGGTGTATCCAGGAGTCACTCCCGAGTGATGGATAATCCCGCAGTGGCAGTTTGCATTGTCCTAAAATCCCAGGGCTTGTTGGAGAGGAACACCTTATTTTGAATTAACCAAGGACCTTTCTGTGCCTCTAAGTACCGTCACAGGTATTCCTTAGAGAGGAGCTTGAGCCTGCGTAGGAGCAGATGGGCACCGCTGTCCTCAGATACGCTCAGGGGGATAACGCCGGCGGGCAGTACCTGCTGCTGTCCCGCGGTCCTTCCTATTACGTGGTTTGTACGTAATTTCATAGCCGCGGGGGCGCTGTGGAGGGAGCACATTAGCTCCTCCGCCCCCTTCTAGGAGTTTCTGAAAGTGCCGTAGAGATTCCTCCCCAGCAGGGGGGCGTGGCTTCATGAGCGCGGGTTTCTGTCCGGGAGACTTGCTGTCGCGACGCAGCAGGTCCCATGTCCCTCAGAGACCGTCGCCCCCTGCACACTGGCCCCCGAGAGCCCGCTCAGGTTTCCTGTCCGTCAACAACCGAGTAACACTGCTGCTCATTTGTACGCCTCCCGCAAGACCGTAGCTCCCTCACGGTCGAAAGCACAGCCTGTACTCGCGTTGTGTTCCTGGAGCTGAGCCTGGCAACATGAACGATGACCCTGAACCCGGTGCAGTCTTGGCACGAGGAAATAAGCTTCTGTCTCGCTTAAGAATGTAAATGTTAAATGCTCAAGTCCACTCCAAGAGAAAGGGCGCGGCGGCGTGCTCTGTAAGTCACCGTGTGCACCACGCCTGCCCATACGACATCACGTGGGGGGGCTGCCTCGGAACATGGGGCACGTTGAGTCTGCGTAGAGGCAAGAGGCCCCTTCTCCTTAATGTGGGACCGTCTCTGCGGTCCCTCTCCAGACAGAAGCCCAACATCAGCTGTCGCCCACCTGCCTTCTTTGAGAAAGCGTCCGAGAGTGTCGCATCCAAGCAGATGGCAATGGGAAATAAGAAACATTTTGCCAAAACGGGGGGCGGGTAATTCTGTGGCCACGCGTTCTTCTATTCAGGCAACCGAAGGAAGCGTAAAGGAAAAAGATTGGTTGGACCGTAAGTATCTCTTTAAAACCCACTCACCTAAAATAAAAAGGAAAATAATATTAAGTAATGGGCACTGTAGGTTGTGTATGTGGAGGGTAAATAATCTAAAAACCATCAAGGGCTTGTACCAATAACACTACCACCCTGGGGGCTGGAGTATTCATTTGTAAGTGGGAAAAACAAGAATTCCTAGTCGTGGAACTGTGAAAACTAAGTGTCGGAAAGAGACAATTTCTTTGGTAATTAAGGCAAAAATAATACTGAAAGACTACAGTACAAGTAAAACACAGCTTGATACCTGCTTAAAGACAAGCTAGTTAGATGGTTCGTGGGTCGAGGACGAGTCCTCTGGCTGAATTATTGGAACGGAGAGCGGTCTCGGGGCCGTCCTGGACAGGGTGTGTGCGTGTGTGTGGGGGGGGTGCCTTTTCCCTTCTTTCTCTTTGGCCTTAATTTGATTTTTCTATAATGTTTTGAAAGGGATCCTGACGTCTTTGGTGTTAAGCCTTACGTTTTCAGCTGTGTTTCAGACCAAAACGTTGCCTCCAGTTTAGTTGCTGTTGGTCGTGTTTGTATAATTATTCGATTCGGAGTATTTGTACGTACACGTGTGTGCGTGCACACCACACACACACATCTGCTTAGATGAATACACACGTGCACACAGACACGTGTAGGTGCGTGTTACTAGGTCACACAAGTTTAGAAGAGTTACGTCTCCTTGACATCGATTCTTCGGTCCTTCCGAAATTGCTCTATTATCTGCATCAGCGCTGCCCGCCCCGCAGTCTTATCCACCTGACGTTACTACACGTGCATCAGTATGTTCTCAAGTGGTGTTCGCGCAGTTTTTCTCCTTCTCTCTGTTTTTCTGCCTTTCCGGGTCCTCGTGTTCAGGGTGCGTCTCTGACAGACATCGTGTAATCGCATCTTCACTGATCATCCTCACGTTCTAATTGGCATATTTGTTGGGAAGGATATCCTTCAGTGGATTATTAATATTTGTGCTTAAGTCTGCCATTTGCTGTTTATTTTCAGTTTGTCCCACCAGCCTGTATTCTTCTTTTTCTCCATTTAAAAAAAATTGTTTTTGGCAGGGGAAGACTCATCAGTTAGTTTTATTTCTACTTTTCACCCCCGTCCACATCATTTCTCTCTTTCCTGGTGGTCACCCTGCTGTCACCGTGTGCATCTTCCCCTCGCCAGACCCCAGCGTGCCCAGGTGGCCCCATCGCGTCTGGGCCGGTGTGAGGAGCCTTCGAAGTATCTCGTCCTAGGCTTTAGTTCTTCCCGTTTCTTAAGCCACTTGAGACCTAAAAGAGACTCTGTTGTTATTTGAATTCCCTGCACGTCTGCACTGATTCTTTCCCGGATTTGCGTTCTTCTCAGGGACCAGGGACATGTGCAGAGTTCTCCCAGCGTGGAACCGTGTTCTGTCTCACCTCCACTGTTGAGGGAACTGTCCACGGACCATGGGGTCCCTTCTGCCCACCGCCCCCAGTTCCACTGCCTTCTCTCCGCGTGTCCTTGGAACTCAGCTGTCCTCCACTTGGGGCTTCTGTGACCATGACATGCGCTCTTCCCCACTTGTGTTTGTCTCTCTGTCTCTGTTTTCCGCGGTCGAGCTGGGATGTGCCGGGACGTGGGTTTCTCCCTGGTAGCTGGCCCCTGGATTCTGTAGCCTGCTGGCTTTCCATCCGTTCTGGAAAATGCTTGGCCAGTAGCTCACCGGTGTTTCTGGCGGCCCGTGCCCCATCTTCTGGGAGTATCAGCACATGCATGGTAGACCTCTTGGTGGTATTCCAACACGTCCGTTCCAGTTACTAGAGGATACCCTGTAGGGTCGGGGCTGGAAATGAGTTACCTCTTGATAACTGTGCCTCCTCGCCCCACCTTCTTTCCCGTGTGGGCGAGTGGGGGACCAGGGTGCAGGCGGGGCGGGTACAAGCGTGCGGGGCTCTGCTTTCACCCGGACACAGGAAGCGTGGATCACCGGTGGGAACAGGCTGTGTACATTCGAATCCAGAGCCCTTACTTTACCATGACCTTGAGCGACTTGCTTCACTTCCCTGTTCCATCTGTTCCTTGTAAAATGGGGATAAAGGACACGTTTCCTAACGTGGAGAGTAGCAAATGAAATAAAGCGCTTGGATCAGTACTTGGCCCGTAGTAGCATTCAGTAAGGTTAACTGTGGTGCTCGATCTTTTTTATTTTTTTAGAGACTATTTATTTAAGACAGAGCGAGCAGAAGCAGGGGGAGTGGCAGGCAGAGGGAGAAGCAGGCTTCCCACCGATCAGGGAGCCCGATGCGGGACTCGATCCCAGGACCCGGAGATCATGACCTGGGCTGAAGGCAGACACTTAACCGACCGAGCCCCCCAGGCGCCCCTCGATCTTACCGTTACGTTGTCACTGCCTGCTTGTCCCCTGCCCACCCGGTGTGAGCAAGCTAGTTAGCCGCTCGTGTCCATGGGGGACAGGCATGCAGGACTGAGGCTGTGTGCTCAGGGCGGCAGCTAGGGTCATCCCTCCCTGTTCTGTGCTCTGCGCGGTCCTTCCCTGCACGGGTCTGCCGCGTTCGGGGCTTGGGGGGCTCCCGGGGCCCCGGCGGCTGACTCTGACCTTCCCCCTGCAGTACGGGATGCTACTGTATCAGAATTTCAGGATCCCGCCACCGCGGAAGGCCTTGCTCCCCTCCTTCTCCACGCCAGTGGTGAGTACAGCTGCAGCGTCCAGAAGGCGGGCTCCTTCCCAGCATCACAGCTGAGCGCGGGTAGTTTCTGGAGAGGTTGTCCCCAGAAGCCGCAGAGTGGGCTTGTGCGTGCTGCCCGGTCCCCTGCGGGGAGACAGGTTTGTCTGGTCAGCAGTGTGACTGCTGGGGACGGATCCTGCACCCTTCAGGGCGTGGCTCTGCTCAGGTGCTCAGGGACTGTCGCCAGCCACGTCCGGTTCGCCCGGGTCGCCCGTGGCCCTGTGGGCATGGGAGACCGTTAGGCTGGAGCCTTCCCTGGTGGGAACTTAGAGCTGGCAGCGAGTGTCCTTGTTCTCAGGACGTACTCGACTTCCCAAAGGTGCAGGAACCCTTCGTCCTCTCAAAACACGACCCTGATGCTCCTCCACGTCTGTTCCTGGGAGAGGCCAGGTGTCCACAGGGAGGGTCCGCGTGTCGCCCTGAACGGACCTCCTGGGGAGGGACTTGGTGGCTGCTGAGGGCTGAGCTCCCCCTAGCGTTTCCGCTTCTGTGACATGATCCAGTAGAGGCTGGGGGCCTGCGAGGGACCCCACTGCCCAAGCCCGGCGGCACCCCACGGCCTCCAGTGGCATTTGGATGCCACCAGGGGACTGGAGCGTTTCTTATTCCCCTCAAGAGAAATCAAAGCCATCTTTAGTTCGAGGGCTCTCCTGCCACCGAATTTCCACCCGAACCTTAGAGTGGCGGTCGGGACGACCCCGTCACCCCTTCTCCTGGCCATCTTTAGGATGGGTTTGCACCAACTTTCCCGAGTGCCACGGGGGCCTGGTTCCCTCCACTTTAAGAACTTGTGGCCTTTCCTTCCAGCGCAGCGTCTCTGAGAACTCCCTCGTGGCAATGGATTTTTCTGGGCAAACAGGAAGAGTGATCGAGAATCCGGCCGAAGCCCAGAGCGCAGCCCTGGAGGAAGGCCACGCCTGGAGGGTAAGGCCACGGCCAGTCCCGTGGACGGGCCCCCTTGTGAGGGGCATGGCCCCCCCCACTGGTCTCCCAGAAGAATGGCCCTGTGGGTGCCGTCGGGGGGGATGAGGTGCTGGGGAGGGGGGAGGGTGGCATCTGAGTCTCAGCTCAGGGCTCCTCCACGTTCCTGGCATGCACGTCCCCCACTGGCTCCCGTGGGAGGAGCGGGGCAGGAGCAGAGCCCTCTGGCCTCGTGGCTCCCGCACAGAGCTGCTCCCGCTAGTGGATGGTCAGTGGCCGTGTGTGGACAGCGCGGAGCCCACCCACCCTGATGAGGCCGGCAGGCGCTCACATCGTGGCTTGACCACTAACCAGCTTCGTGGCCTCGGACGGTCTCTTCCCTCGGAGGTTCCTGCTCCTGACCTCCCAGCGGGAAGAGTGTCACCCTGATTTCAAATTCTCTGAGGTTTACAGAGAACGTACAAAACCTGAGCCCGCCGCTCTGGCTCAGAGACTTCCCCGAACCGTAGCTTCAGAGCGGGTTGGAAAAGAACGGCCCCACAGCCTAGGGACTCTGTAGGCCAGTGTTTCAGTGGAGAAGCTCATGCCTCTCTCCCAGAACTTACCAGCAGTTTTCACCGTGTGTCTTCTGTCTGCTTCAGTCCTGGGATCATCCAGATTCCCCGGGATGCTTGTGTTGTCACAACTGCCGTCAGGCGGGGGGCGGCCTCCGCTAGCTGTCCCTGCACAGCCAGGGGCGCCGCCACCCCGGCCAGGCCTCCCTGCCACGTGTGTGTCCCTGGTGGCCGGTGGGCCGTGTCGGTCTGCTGTCTTAGCGCTCACACGGGCATTTCTTCCGCAGAAGCGAAGCACACGGATGAATATCCTAGGCAGCCAAAGTCCTCTCCACCCTTCTACCCTAAGTACAGGTAAGTGCAGCATGGCGGCCCGATCCTTCGAGAAGTAAAGAAGATGAAACCGCGCCCATCCCTCCCGGAGCTTCCCCAGACCGCCCTGGCCCGGTGTGCGCCAGGAGAGGTGTAGCCGTGGGAACCGGGGCCCCGCGCTGATCGCCGGTTCGCTGTACCTTCGGCGAAGCCAATCTAGCCTCCTTCTCTTTTCCCTCCCGCAGTGATTCATAGGACGCAGCACTGGTTTCATGGCAGGATCTCCAGGGAGGAGTCCCACCGGATCATTAAGCAGCAGGGGCTGGTGGACGGGTAAGGAAGCATCGGCCTGGAGAGCGGGCATCTGCCGAGGTGATGTCGTGCTGGGCGCATGTTCTGGCTGGTTTCTCAGTGATTCTGGGGGGTGGGCAGTCGTTAGAGCCTCGGTTTAAAGAGGAGAGAATGTTGGGGCGCCTGGGCGGCTTAGTCATTAAGCGTCTGCCTTCGTCTCAGGTCGTGATCCCAGGGTCCTGGGATCGAGCCCCGCGTCGGGCTCCCTGATCGGTGGGAAGCCTGCTTCTCCCTCTCCCACTCCCCCTGCTTGTGTTCCCTTTCTCTCTTTCTGACAAATAAATAAAATTTTAAAAAAACATAAAGAGGAGAGACTGTGGCTCAGGCTCAGCGTGGTGCAGGGTGGGCTTAGCTAGCCAGTGGCCAAAGGGGGATTGCAACCCATTCTGTCCGTACTCCGTCTATTACCAACTTCCGCCTTTTTGTTGCAGTTCAGAGGGCCCAAGAGCACAAGCCGGTTATTTTCCATACTTCCCATATTTTTCAACAAGGCAGGGGCAAACGGAAGAAAAATGTTTTTGTTTACATTTTATCGGGTAGCTTTTGCTGAGAACAAACAACCCCAAACCTTCGTGGCTTTAGGCCACAGAGCTGGATCATTTCTCAAGTTGGAGTCGGTGGAGTGTGTCCTCACCAGGGCCAGCTCGGCTGGGGTGGGTGTCGCAGTTGGCTGCAGAGATGGGGCGACTGGGTGTGTGTGCCAACTGGCTAGCCTGGGGACACTCACGCCGTGGCGGTCACGGGTCCCAGGAGTAAGAGAGATCAAACCCCGATGCACAGGACCTTCTCAGGGCTGATACCCCATCGGTCGAAGCACGCCCCACAGCCTTGCTCCCAGGGCCATGGGAAGGGCTGCCCAGGGACCTGGATGCAGACCTGTGTCCTCGCTCCCCGCTCCCAGCAGGAGGCGTACTCTGGTTTTCCTGCCCTTCATCTGTTAAACGTTTTGCTATAGAAATTTAAAGATTTACCCAGGAGAGAAGAGGATAGTGAGCCCCCACGTAATCCTTGTCTGGTTTTGACAGTTTGCTAATTTTAGTTTGTCTGTGTCCCTTCCCAAGTGATCGGCTCCTCCACACCCCCTTCTCCTTCTGGAAGATTTTAGGGTAAATCCCAGACATTCTAAATTTTTACCAGTAAACATAGTGTGTCTCTAAAACATAAAGACCGTTGTTTTCTGATACAACCACAAAATCACTGTTACTCTTAACGAAATAAGCAAGAATTCCTTAATATCATCTAAAGTCCAGTCTGGGTTCAAATTTCCCTAATTGCTGTGAAAAGAAAAAAAAAAATCCTTTAAATCGAGTTGGTTCAAGTCGGGACCGACAGATTGCATTTGGTTGATAGGTCTCTTGAGTGTCCTCAGATACGATGGTCTCCCTCTGCTTCCCTTCTCTTCCTCTTATTCGCCTGTTATTAGTTGAAGTAGTGGGTGAGTTCCTAGCCTCCAACGTAGCTAAACGCTTGACTTTTCCCTCAAGTAAGAGGGTCAGCTTGGAGAAGAATGATTTGGTCTTCTTACCACAGTCCCGTAGTGACAAATGAGCTGTTGTTCGTTTCAACTATGATTATGTACTTAGATTCTTTTTTTTTTTTTAAAGATTTTATTTATTTATTTGAGACAGAGAGAATGAGATACAGAGAGCATGAGAGGGAAGAGGGTCAGAGGGAGAAGCAGACTCCCTGCCGAGCAGGGAGCCCGATGCGGGACTCGATCCCGGGACTCCAGGATCATGACCTGAGCCGAAGGCAGTCGCTTAACCAACTGAGCCACCCAGGCGCCCTGATTATGTACTTAGATTCTTAAGCATTGGACTTATTTCGGTCAAAACTTACTACTTTTGATGCTCAGCATGCCCTCCCTTTGGCCAACAGGACTTGTTCAAGTTGGTCCCTGAGTTCTTTGGACCCACCACGAGCAGTGTTGGATTCCAGGTGTGACGGGAGAATGTTCGGCTCCCGTGAACGTTTCTCTTCAGAGCCTCATTCTTTCTAGTGGGAAATGGTGTCTGGACACCACAACCTATAGACCTTCTCCAGGGACAGAGTTAGGACATAGGCTTTTTTTTTTTACAGTGAAAAAGAAAAGTTTGAAACCCTTTCTTTGCAGGGTTCACGCTGATAAACGGCCAGATCAGCTGGAAGAGTACAGGGTTTTTACTTTGATTTGACTGTATTTCTCTTCTCTTACTCCGAAAATCTTACTAAAGACATAATCATTTGTAAATACTTATTTTCCCCTCTGTCTTGTCACATCTGGAAAATATTCATGTGGTCCTTGTAATCCTGAAGGCACGTTCTAGGCAGGTCGTGTTCAAGCACCATGGTTAAAGTCTTTCCTCTCTGGGGTTCTGACAGCAAAGCATCATGCAGTCCGTGAGGTTCATTTGTCTCCGTTTGCTTTTGATTTTTGTCAGTGGATATGATTTGTTTTCCCTTCGGCTTAATGCTTCCCGTTGACTTCTATAAAACACTCCCCTGGTTCGAAAGTCAGAACAGTGAAACCAGGCAGATTCCCTGCGGACTCTCCTCTGCCCCCTGCAACTCCCCCACAATCGGAACCCATTTTGTGGGGTCTGTTCATCCTCCCGTTGTTTTCGGTTTGAAGGTAAGCAGAGCGTTTCTGCCTCCTGTTGGGCCCCCCCCCCCCGAAACACAGGTACAGGGCCGAGTGTCAGGTGCACCTGCTGTGGGAGGGTCCCCGAGCCGCCGGTGGGGGTCTGCCCCGTCTCGTGCTCAGCGTTGCCGGGCTGACGGTGGAACACCTGGGGCGCCATCGCTTCATATTCCGGCTGGTGTTTCTGCTGGTGGTCCCCAGACCGTGGGCGACGGCTTCCCCACGGCCCCGCAGGCTGCGAGGGGGCGTCTGTCTTTCTCATCTGCCGTTGGGGAGGCCAAGCCTCTTTTCAAAAAGTAAGAATTTGGGCCTTTCTTCTTTTTTGCCATTCTGAAAACTGTCTTTATGTATTTTGCCCAAAGTTCTCCATCTGTTTTTTTGCGATGTCTTTCCTAGGTCATCATGTGGCGTTTTGACTTTGCTTATGGCTTGTGTTGGTTTCCTGTTTGGTTTGGGTTATACGGACTTTTTTTTTTTTTTTTTTTGAAGGGGTTATACAGACTTCTTTTTTTTTTTTAAAGATTTTATTTATTTATTTGACAGAGAGAGAGACACAGCGAAAGAGGGAACACAAGCAGGGGGAGCGGGAGAGAGAGAAGCAGGCTCCCCGCTGAGCAGGGAACCCGACGCGGGGCTCGATCCCAGGACCCTGGGACCATGACCCAAGCCGAAGGCAGACGCTCAACAACTGAGCCACCCAGGTGTCCCGGGTTATACAGACTTCTTAACGTAAATTTTACATGGGCACATTTATCCTTTGTGTCCCTTTTCCTTCTGGATTTTTTTTAACGTAAATTTTACATGGGCACATTTATCCTTTGTGTCCCTTTTCCTTCTGGATTTTTGAGTCCTTGTCATGTTTTGGCCGCTCCGAAATCATAAAGGAGTTTCTTCCTGTTCTATTCTAGGACTCAACATTGTTTCTCTTCTTTCCCCGTCTTTGTTCTTCGCCTTTTCTGTCCATGTGTCTGTTTTTGTTTGTCTAGATCCCAGATACATTCAGAACGTATTTATCCTGGGATGCTGTGTAAACAACGAGTCCTATTTATTTTTTCTATGTGGCTATAACCTTGCTCCAAATTAATTATTTGAAAGGTCACCCGTATCCTGCAACAGTCCTTTGCTAAAGCATTAGAAACGAATCCGTTTGCAGCCGTGAGCTGCATCAGAAGGGAGCCCCACGGTGCTCTGACGACATCACCACAATGGCCACAGGGTCCGTTCCAAGGAAGTTCAGCGGTTCCCTTGCCAGGGGGCTTCATAGTGCCCACAAAAGTGAAGGTTCCAGAGCGGGTGGGATTTGGTGTCGTGGCCACTTGTGTCCCTCCCGGGGCCCAGGGCAGTGATGGTGGCACCTTCGTCCCTCTGGAGCGGACGGGACCTCGGAGGCCATGTGAGGACGTGTGTGATCGGAGGAGGCTCCCCTGTGATTCCCAGACGAGGCCCAGCCAGGCCCACTGTGCCTTAGAGGGGCGGCCCCGGTGCGTGGGGGCTGTGCAGTCGCTCAGCACACTCGGGCCACTCAATGGTGTGTCTGCACCTGCTTTGTTTTGTTTTTTAAGATTTTATTTATTTATTTGAGAGACACGGCACGAACCGGAGGTAGGGGCAGAGGGAGAGGGAGAAGCAGAAGCAGGCTCCCCGCTGAGCAGGGAGCCCGATGCGGGGCTCGATCCCAGGACCCTGAGAGCATGACCTGAGCCGAAGGCAGACGCTTAACCGACTGAGTCCCCCAGGTGCCCCATGTTGGCACCTCTTTTAAAAAAAAACATGTTTGTCTTTCACCACTTCCTAGAACCCTTGTTGGCAAGGTTTCTGTCCTTTCAGGCTTGGAGACGAGGGTATGCGTCACCTCTGTCACCTTTCCTCCCACAAGGCAGCCCTCCTGCTGGCATCTGCCCCATTAATAAGCAGGGGTTTCTCTCTGGCATAATCTTCAGTCCCGATGTCAGGCTGACGAAACGAGCATCAGGATAATGGGACCCATTCAGGTGTCGTCCCAGTGAGAGGCCAGACTTCCATTAATTCCTGGGCGCTTAGGGAGAAAATGTGTTGGGAAAACAAGGTAAATGAAATAATCAGTTCCTAATCTTAACTGATCCCTGCAGAGAGATAATGAAGGGAAACCAATTTAGAGAGCCCAGCAACGCAGAGAAAATGACTGAAAGTCAGCCCTAGCCTCAAATGACATAGGGAGTCAGGAAAAGGGGCCGGAAGGAGACAACGGAGCCTGGAGTCGATCCGAGAGAAGTCTTTGAAATCCCCGGTATCCAGGTGCCCTGAAATCGCTGCCCACCTCCTTCCCCTCTTGCACCCACAGCCCATCCCACAGCCCGGAGGAGGAGGATTCTGCCAATCTAGGGCAGATCTGGTTCTGTGGTCTTCTCTGTGAAATACCCCCCGATGGCTTACGTCCTCTCCTGCAGCATTTCCGGCTCTGTCCCCCACCCTCCCCACCCTGGCCTTGCTCACACTCGGGTCCAGCCCCACCTGCCCCTCTGCGGCCCCCAGTTCCCAGCTCTCTGCTGTTGGTGAACTCCAAAGAAGCACGCCACTCCTCCGCTGGGTGGAAGGAAACTTCTTTGTCGAGATTTGAGTTCTCGGCAGCGTTTCCACCCCTCACCCACCCCCCCATGGCAGAGAGAGGGGTCCTGTCCCAGGGCTAACCTAGCGCCCCCATCAGCGCCCTAACAGGGCTCGCCAGCCATGGAGGGACCGTCCGTACACACCTCCTCAGATTTTACCCGTGGCCCTGTTGATCCTGGAAGCCAGGGTTCGTCCGTGATAAAGGCTGGCTGTGTGACCCTGGGGAATTTGCTTAACTTCTCTGTGCCCCGCTTCCCTCAGCTTGAAATGAGAACAATGACAGGGTCACCGTGGGGACTAACGGAGTTGACACGTGCGCAGAGCCTCACTCGTGACCCTGAGCCGTGTTGCTCTGTGGACCACTCTCAGCCCCTGGCGCAGGCCCCTCTCTGCTTTAGGAGCCCGCCGGTGAGCACATTTGCAAGAGCTCCCCCCATATGCGGTCCTCACCGCTTTCCTTCCTGTGGTGCGTTCCAGATTTCTTTCTTTTTTTTCTTTTTTAAAGACTTTTATTTATTTGCCAGAGAGAGAATGAGAGTGAGAGAGAGAGGGAACACAAGCAGGGGGAGAAGCAGGCTTCCCGCTGAGCAGGGAGCCCGATGTGGGGCTCGATCCCAGGACCCCGAGATCATGACCTGAGCCGAAGGCAGACGCTTCACCCACTCAGCCACCCAGGCCACCCCTGTGTTCCAGATTTCTTGATCTGGCTGCGTCACCAGGCACGTGCGGTCCTCCTGGGACCTGTCCCTGCAGAGGTCCCTTGGGCCATCAGCGGGTCTCTGCGGTTTGTGGATGGCGATCCCGTGGGTCCTGCGCTGTCATGCACGGCTCCGTGTCCTCAGCAGCCAGGCTCCTCATCGGGCTGCTGGACGGGTGTTAACGTGTTGTGCAGCCCCAGGCGGAGAAGGCCAGTCATGGAGCTGATCGGTGGCAGTTCAGGGAGTCCTGCGAACTCCTGAGCCACACGCTTTTCAGCCCACAGGCTCCTCCGAGTTAGTAATCTTTGCAGACAGCCAGCCATTGGTCATGACCTCGAAATCCCAAGCATTTGGGGAGGCCTCAGCACTTGCCAGGGTCCTGCCCTGGAGGGAGGCTGCCGGGCAGAGCCTTCCTGCCACTCTGGCTCCTCCGGGGTCACGTTCAGCTGCTGTATGCACCTGTCTGCAGCAGGCAATGGCCGGGAGCTAACTAAGGTGACAGGAGAGACAGGGACAGACCAGCCTTTCCTGTCACACAGCCTGGTGTCCAGGGAGCTCCCGGGTTTCTGCTGGAATGGTGGCTTCTTTGGAATGAAATAACCCAGAAGGCAGATCTTTGTGGAAGACAACTGTGGCGTGTGGCTCTGCCCAGGAGTGGGGGGAGACCCCACCGGCCCCTCGAGGGGCCGCGTGGCAGACGCCCCACACCTACACCCCACGTGGGGCCTGCGATTCTTAGCGCTGCCCGCCTCCCCCGCCCCACGAGTCGTGGGAATCTGTTTTCCCAGACGGTGTTTGCAAAAACCTGCCTCCTGGGAACGCTGGAGCGAAGGGGGTGTGGTCACGCAGGACTGGAAAACCCTGTGCTTGAATCCCTAGGCGCCCACGGTGGATATTCCCGTTTAAAGGCACTGAGAAGCCCTGTAGTAAAATAAAACCCCCGTCCGCCTTTTTCATACAGGACTTTGCCATCCCGGGTAGCTGCTTTCCATCTTAACAGTAGAGTCCAGAAGCAGAGGACGGCGCCTGTGACAGTCATTTGGTTTGAACACGGTTCTTTGTCACGTGGATTCTGGTGTGGGGGTTTTTTCCTCTTCCTTTCCCAGGGACACCTGGCCCTACTTCGTTGTGCTATTTGGATTTTTATGTACTTTTTATCCTGAAATAAATTCACATCGTGGGAAAGTTGCTAAGTCATATAATGAACTCCTATGTGCATTTTCTCAGATAACCTAGCTGTCAACATCGGGGCTTGTTTGCTTTATCATAGGCTCCTTCCCTCCCTCCCTCCTTCCTTTTTTTGTCTGAACCCTTTGGGAGGAAAGTTACAGAGAGCATGAGGTCCCTTGTATCCTGTTTATTTCAGTAGAAAATTTGTAAGACCAAGGACTTCTCTTCCATAACCATAGTACCGTTGTAAGAATCAGGAAGTAGGGGCGCCTGGGTGGTTCAGTCAGGTAAGCGTCTGCCTTGGGCTCAGGTCATGATCAGGGTCCTGGGATCGAGTCCCGTGTCAGGCTCCCGGCTCAGCCTGCTTCTCCCTCTGCCTCTGTGCCTGCCGCCTGCTTTCGCATGCTCTCTCTCCTCTGTCTTTAATAAATAGATTAGATAGATAAAACCTTTATTAAAAAATTGGGAAGGGAACATCCATGTGGTTCTGATCCCAAATGCACACACTTATTCTGGTGCTGCCAGTGGTTCTGATTACAGCCTTCGTGGAAAAAGAAAACGTCTCAATTCTAAATACGTCTATGGGGGCGCGTCTCCTTAGGTTTCGTCCTTCGTGGACACTTGTTACGCGAAGAAGCCAGTTATTACAGGGTGCACCTCGGCTGGGGCGCGTCCAGGGGCTCGGGGCTCGGCCGGGTTATCACTTTGCAGGAGAGGACGTGGGGTCCCCACTAGCTGGGCAGGGTTGGCAGATTGTCTCGTTGCTGGCGGTGTTGCCTCTCGAACACTCGGTGGTGAGGACATCGGCGGGTTTCTCTGACGGACAGTCGCTGTGTTTCCCTTTGAAATAAATAAGTACCAGAGGGGTGATGGTTTGAGAATGAAATACTCTGTTTCTCATTCGCTCCTGTTGACAACCTTGTCCTTAATGGGGACAACCCACGGCGGTTGCTAAACAGTTGCGCACCCATCATTCCTTCCTGTTTGTTCAGCTGCCCTTCTGCTCTGAGGAAGAGCTCTTTCTTCTCCTCTCTTAATGTACTTGCTCATTTATTTATAATACTGGTGTTTACTCACAGATTCTTGCCTTTTTTCTCTGGGTTCTAGTCTGCCCCTTTTGATAGTTACTGTGATGCTACGTCCTGGGTCATGACGCTTTGAACTTTGAACTTGAGGACTTTGCGGCGCATGTTGTCCAGCCGCTTCGTATCCTTGCCCGGCCGTGGCCCCAGAGCTCTTTCAGTGGAGAATGACAGAAATCCGTCCCCAGGCATCCTGAACCGTCGTGGCTGCGCAAGCAGGGAAATGTGCATGTGTGTGTGTGTGTGTGTGTGTGAGTGTGCGTGCAGATAGACAAACGCACATCTCAAGTCTGGATTTTAAAAATGTACAATCAGCTGATTTTTTTCCATCCTCAGGCTTTTTCTCCTCCGAGACAGCCAGAGCAATCCAAAGGCTTTTGTGCTCACACTCTGTCACCATCAGAAAATTAAAAATTTCCAGATCTTACCTGTAAGTATTGATAACTTCTCACTGAGCCTTGTTGTGGTTTCCTGGGTTTATTCTGAATGCCATTTTCAAATCCTAAATGAACCGAACCACAGGTCGTTAAATATCAGACAGGTCCAAGCTGACCGGAGAGATGCTTCCCAGAGTCCCTTAAGAGGCTTGTTCTTTGAAATTGGGAACACACCTCCCAGAGTGCACCATTCAGGTGGGGGGTAACATACACAAAGTTGACGTCAGATGTTTCTCATAATTAACTGATACGGTCTGCAGGTCATAACGTTCCTGAAATGTTTCCTGTGGGGCCCAAACCCGGGCCATGTTCTGCCTAGAGAGGGTGGTGAGGTCTTCTCCCCTCAGAGAGCCTCTGTCCGGTAGCAAAGGAAAGCTCCGGAAGGCTCAGTGTAACCAAAGGCATCTGTTTCACACTGTTGCACCTGCTGTTTGTGAAGCTTGCTTGAGCCCAGGACTTTGGCGTCTCAGGAATCACAGGGACAGAGCAGGAGGAGCCCAGGGCAGTCCGGTTAGCTTTTCTGGTGCCTTCCGGCTACATCCCGATGATGCCCTCACTCTGCCCATGACCCTGGGCCAGGTTTCCCAGACTCCCACCTCCACGTAGTTATTATTGACACAGACGTCCTCGTTCCTCTCAGCCTCAAATCAAACGAAAACCTGTTTTATGGCGGGCGGCATGGGTAATGCCCATCCTCCCAAATAACCCCAAATTCTGGAAGCATCAGAGGGATAGTAATTGGAGACTCGAGAGCAACAGGACTTGAAAACGGGGTACACTGGTGCCCCTGGCTGTATTTTGGAGTCTGGAAGCTTTTCTGAGTTTATTAATCCGGACAGGTCTCAAACCAACCTGCTCCATACTCACCCTTTCACACCGCACTGCAGTCCTTGAACTTACCATTCTCCGGGTTCGGACCGGCCTTAGGAATGTTGCTCCTTCTGGAAGCTACCGTGGGGTCCCTCCATTTTGATGGAAATAGCTACCCAACATGGCAGGACCACCTGCCCTCACCGCTCCGTGGCAGTGACCCCATAGTCGCACTCTTTGTCCCCAAGGGTGTGGCCCCTAACTCGGCGAGTGTTCTTGTGTCCCTCCAGTGCGAGGATGATGGGCAGATGTTCTTCAGCCTTGATGACGGGAACACCAAATTCTCCGACCTGATCCAGCTCGTTGACTTTTACCAGCTCAACAAAGGAGTCCTACCTTGCAAACTCAAGCACCACTGCATCCGAGTGGCCTTATGACCTCACATTGACTCTTGGCTGAAGACGGGAGGAAGCTGACACTGGAACGGGGACGGGGGTGGGGGGAGGGGGTTTGTGCGTCGCCAAGGACCCACGTCTGTTCTGCACCCCGGGGAGCGGGGTCCGTCAGGGCCCACCCGCCAGGATGGACTCGGGGCTGGACTCGAGGAACGATTTGCTGCTGCAGAGCCACGGGACCGCCTCCCTCCGCGCCGGCCAGGTTCGCGGAGGCGGGAGAGCGCGAGCGCATATTGGAGGACAAAAACGGGATCGATCGTCTTGGCTGGGCCACGTAGGAACGAGAACCGGAGACACGTAATTGGAAATGAACTCTTGCCCTGGAATAATCTTGACAATTAAAACTGATATGTTTACTTTTTTGTATCGATCACTTTTTGCACTCCTTCTTTGTTTTCAATATTGCTCTCAGCCCCGGTAGGAGGGGGTGCGGCTCTCCCGTGTGCGCGCGGGACGCAGGGACTGCGGCCAGGGGGCAGACTCCAGAGACTGAACCCGGGCCCCCAGGGGTTTCCAGAGGGTGGTGTCCACCCTGTGCGGGGGACCGGAGGTGGATTCATTCGGCTCCCAGGTTACATGCCACCCTCAGCCCTCCCCAGGATACTTGAAGTGCTTTTTTTTTTCTTTTTTTTTTTCAATAAAAGGTGTCATCTGTGGTAGGCATTGGGCCCGTGGTGTGGACTCAGTCAGGTACCCGCTGCCGTGTGCACAGATGCTCCCTACGCCTGTTCCAGGTGAGCCCTCCACTGTTCAGGAGGCCCGGGTGCTCTGGAAAGCTCGCTGGCCCGCGGCACGGCAGGGCTGAGTGGCCTTGCCGCTAGCTGGACGTGGGGAGCATCGCTGGGACCCCCCCGAAGCGCCCAGTGTCCACCGCCCCCTCTCAGCCTGTTCAGAGCGATCGCTGTCTTACCCCTCACCCCCCACAGTGGCTTGGGGCCTTTCCCGGCTCTTCTCCCTCCAGGGGTTAAAGGCCCTAAAAGGAAAATGGCCCCTGCTTGGCTGCCGGTGGTGGCCCGCAGGTTTCCATGGTGATAAAGAGTGAACATTGGAAAGGGCACGTCTGCAGCCTGGCATGGAAAGGTCCTCGCTCGATGACCTCCGTCCTGCTGAAAAGCCCCATGAGCCGGCCCAGGCGGAGGCCCCCCCTTGGCGGGCTGGCACTCAGAAGTACCTCACGGCCCTTGTGGGCATTGAAGAGTCCGGTCAACACAACACTGCTTCCCCTCCGGGGCAGGGCAGGGGAGGCTGAGTCACACAGTGGCTGGACTGCCCCCTGCCACCCCCTCCGCCCCGTCCCCTTAGCTGAGTCACCAGGTGTGACGGGCCGCGGATTTACCTGCAGTCTCTGCAAAGCAGAAAGGTCTCCCCTGACGGGCCTGGGAGATCTGGTCCCCCAGTGCCTGACTCTGCTGCACCACCGGGCCCCCCCGGCAAGCACGCGACCCGGTGGGACCCCCGGGACCCGCCTTGGTGGCGCCGCCGTGCTCTAAGCACCTCAAGGGTGTGGAAACACTGTATTTTAGTTTACAGGCCTCACTTTGCTTGTTTTCCATGAAACGTCTACTTAACACAAATGCAGAAATTTTAGTAAGACGTTTTTCACCGTAAACGCGCTCAGTCACGTTTTCTTCCTCTTGTAGCCAGGTGATCTTTCAGACCGCCACCAGTCAGCTGAGTCCTGCCTGGCCGCAAGCTTCCAGGGCGCTCCCCCTCAGAGCAGTTCTTCGGTTACACTGTTAGACACTTTTCTCTTCACTGGTTGGAAGTAGAACCTGAAAGCGATTCTACGATTTCTGTGTTTCTCAGTGCGTAGACCGGTAGGATGAGACTCTCACACCCCTCTCCGCTCGACAGCTAGCATCCCCAGCATCTCGTATTTATAAACATGCATTTTATTTACAAGGAGCATGAAAGCTGGACTCTGACTCACGGTCTGTGCGTAGCTGGGTCGACGTCGTTTTCTGTACCTTCCCGGCCGCGGTGAAATGCTGGGTGGAGGGTGGGAGCCCGTGTGCCTGGTGGCTGGGAATCCCACCTGGAAGCAGCCAGTCCCTCAAGGATGCGGGCGCCCGGCCCGGCCAACCAGGGGCGGAAGGATGGTCAACTTTTATTTTTGTATTTAAATGACATGAATGTAAATGGAACAGCTCAGGGTCGTTTTGGAGCCTGTTGACTTTCTCTCTCTCTCTCTGCCTGTGATTTTCTTTTCTAAAAGGAAAACCCCCCACATAGCAGCCTGGACTTAGTTGGGAAGGAAATACCCAACGCTTTGGGTATTTGGAGTTTAAGTAGGTAAGCTCTGTTACCTTAGGTCTTCGAGTTCCAGAACGTTGTTTTGTTCGCTAAACCTTGGAGAAATATGTGCCTCAGTCTAGCTGTTTTATCTTCTCTTCTCTGCTCTTAATACCTGACGGTTTGACCAATTGATGCACCTGTCCGGGGCGGGACCTGCTCGCGGCGGATCGTGATGTCACCGGGCAAGCTCGCGGTGACCGTAACACGGCCTGACGTGTAGACCGTTTCAGGGAATGCAGAAGGTACCACGAGACGAAACCTTTATTCCACGTGCTTTGCCCCTTTCTGTACATAGCTCTTCGACTTGTGAACCTAAATGTAAACTTTCAGGTATTTTTGTACAAACGAGGGACTGATGTTCTGTTTCTTGTAATTAGAAATAAACATTACTACAGTGTTCTTCATTTTCCACTGCTCGTATGTCTGTTTCTGTATTTTGGAACACTCCAGCGGGCCCGCCCCTGAAAACCTTTGGAAATAATGTGGAATAGCAACAGTGCGCTTTCTTTGCACTGCTTAGACGCTAGCTGGAGTTGACCCGTGACACGCGGGCCGGGTGGCTCCGTGTCGCTGCAGGATGACCTCAGCCGTCTCTTCTCCCCACACCTGCATTGCAGAGTGAGTCAGAGCTAGTCCGAGCTCCGCTCAGGTTTCGCAAACACCTCAAGGAACTCCTAAAAGTTTGCATTTGAGAAATCCAGTGGCTTTGTTAGTGCTGCAGTGGGACCATGACAATGGGTCAGACCCAGGTTTTCTAGTCAGATAAACTGACAGCAGGATGGAGAGAATGGATGCCCCGTGTCCCTGCTTCCCCCGGACCTCACCAGCGGGACTAACTCTTCTCCCTGCCTCTGGTCACACACACCTTCCAGACAAATCGCCCAAAATGATACGTTAATTGGCGACAGAACATTTTTCCCTTGGTGGTTCTATTGCAATTTACCACAGTGTCATTTTGGGCAATTACGGGATTTTGTTCTTTGAAATAAGAGTGATGACATTGTGTCCGAAAATAAAAGCCCTGTTGTAACTATATACTCAAACGCGCACACAGGCCGAGGTGCATACCAGGGCTGCAGCAGAGAGTGCCCGGGGGGCTCTGAGTCCGGCTGGGGGATCCGTATGTGAAGGATGAACGTGGAGGTGACCAAAGGCAGACGGACAGCACGGCCTTCTCTGGGTGCGTGCTGTCCAATACGATACCACGCGGCTCACACACCTGTTCAAATTTAAATTTCAATTAATAAAAATAAAATGAGACATTCGGTTCAGGTTGCACCAGCCGCATTTTTGAGTGCTCAACAGCCACAAGGGGCAGTGGCCACCATGATGGGCGGTGCGGATCTAGAACACTTCCAACATGGCGGGAAGTTCCGTTGGACGGCTCCGGTCTGGGTGACTGAGAGCGAAAGCCTACAAAAGTGGATGACGAGATCGACGAGGGTCCGTCTCTTGTGTCTGGTTGGTGCGTCGAATCGGCAAAGCTCGGCCTCAGACCCAAGACTAAGGGTACCCCCCCCGGAAGTCACACCTGTGCCCCCCCCTCCCCGCCCCCAGGAAAGACACACGAGCTTCCCTTTGCCAACAGAGAAGGACTGTCCATTGCCTTCACCTTCCTCTGGCCGACCCTGCTTCCCAGTTATAATGGATTGACCGTGGCTCAACGTCGGAGGCGTGAACTGTGTATAAAACTGAACTGTGTCTGCGCAGCCCACCCTCCACCCACCCCGACGCTTCCCAATCTGATAGCAGCCTGCTCCGTGAGCAGATTTCCCGGCCTAAGCCAGAGGTGGGAAGCGTCTGTTTCCTATTGCCCTGGTGAGTCCCATTAGTGATTGTCTCCCCAGACTCGAGGGTAGCTTTAGTGTGGAAATATAAAGTGTGTGTTTGCACACAAGTTCCCCGAGTGTAAGCAGACACCGCATTGGTGTCTTCCCTCTTCCCTGCGGGAGTAAGAACGGGCCGTGCAGGGCTTCTTGAGAGACAGTCTTGGATGAGCAATCACACGGGAAGCAGGGGTCATTCTTGATGCCTTTCTGTAATTCAAACCCAATCCTGACAGGATGCTGTTCGGGAGCTAAGTCAGGCATCGTGAGGAGAGCGCCGTGGGGCTTCTCCCAGACAACCAGTTGCAGAAGTATGCACTTCTTGGCCTCTTCTTAGTTAAAAGGAGAGGACTTGCGTTATTTTTTATTTCGCGCAAAAAATGAAGTGGCCTTAAGGTGTGTTACTGCGCTATTTCCGATTTTGCATACAATCAGATTGTGCTGTATTTCTGAGCTGGTTGAGATTTTTCCCTAGGGTGATTTGGACATCGACGATCTACCTCAGTGCCGTCTGAGTCCTGCTGTAAGATTAGGTTCCACGACCTGTATCAAACTTGCTTTCTGACCCTTCTCTCCCAAACAGGTACCTTCGGGATAACTCGGTACGGATGCGTTCCTGGCCTCACTCCCAGGGCGTCTGGTTGAGTGAGGACAGAAGGTGCCATGGGACCAGGCCCCGCGTGACTCGGGGTGGCTCCCACCAGGAAGGGGAATTCTAGAGGCTCGCAGGAGAACAGGCCTGTGCCCTCTGCCACGTTCCAGCAGCGTAACTTGGGGAACCATATAACACACCTGTAAAGGGACGCTTTGGAATTCAACCCACCCATTCGTCAGACTCACCTCTGGAGCTTTGAGGCTATGCACATCTCCAGCCCCCTCGGAAGCTTCTGGAATTAAAGTCTTTGGCGTGGCAATACAGTGCTTGCTCCCAGGCCACCACAGGTAGGCGAGATCATGTCCAGCTCACCGTGGCTCGGGGGATTTGTGGTGCACGCATCTGCTCTGTTGTTATCCTTCCCCGACCCACTGGGGACTTGCTGAGCTTCTAAATGGAGAGCTGTTGGTGGCGCTGTTGGGAAAGGCTGGGGCTTAAATTAGAAGTGCTTGAAGCTGCTCCTGGGAGCACCCCTGGGAGCACCCCGGGAGCCCTGGGCTGGCACAACTGGAAAGGCTGCTGAGGGGGGCCCTGGCCCTGGCAGGACGCAGGCAGCCTGCAGCCCATGCTGCCCCTGATGGGCCCTGTTCGGCC